AAAAAAAAAAAAAAAAAAAAAAAAACTCGCTTACCAGTTAAATTTTTTTCATGTTTATTTTTTTTTTTTGTTCGGCGATGATAATAACTGAAATCAGGAAAGGATTTATTGGTTTGTAATTGGTTTTTTTCCCCTTTTTTCCCCTACAATATATACGTCGTCGTTGTTGTTGTTGTTGTCGTCGTCGTCGTTGTCGTCGGATATATACAGCAGCACTCTCTCAGTTGTTTGGCGATGATTATCCTGAAAAATTATCGTTGTTTTCTCTTTCACTTTCTGTTTTTTTTTCGTTTTCTCAATCATTATTTTTTAACCATTATTTCCTATCATTTTTGGGCTTTTTTTTTTTTGCAAACTAAACAAAAAATAAACACTTTTTGTCGCTGCTTTTTTTCAGTGTGTCTGTGTGTGTTTTTTTTTCCCTTTCACCACTCTTTCATCTGCTAATTTTTTTCCCTTTCTTTTTTTTTTGTTTCCACTTTTACTTTTTTTTTTTCTTTTTGTTTTTGGTCACTATAAAAGTCAAATAAAAAGAGTATAATCAAATGGCAAACGTTATTTTTGAATCACACACACACACACACACACACACATCCATAGAATATGTTTTGCGTAAAATACCACAACTGGATACAGTGATTGTGGACAAAGTTCAATGAGACAAAAGAATATGAACTGTTTGTAAAACAAATATGCGATGATATCTCAGTATACAGTTTTTTTTCAGTTATAGTGGCAAAATCTATACAAAATATAGGCATCAATAAATCAGACAGGTATAATATTATAAGGTTGTTCACAGCTATGTATCAATACCGATGACCAGCATACTGACAACATAAACAGTTTGTTCTTCTTCCCTTCTTTTTTGATTCAAAATCTTAACAGTTTTTTTTTCGCTGTACATCAGAATCTAAAACAACAGTTTAACCTGTAATCTTTAGACTTTCTTTTTTTTTTTTGCTCAATTCAGTTATCTCTTTAAAAAAAAAAAAGACAGAAAAATTTGAATTTTCTTCTTGTTTTGTTTTTGTTTTTTCAGCTGGTTTTTTTTTCCAGATCATTTTTTCACTGT